GGTTTGGCTCAGTGGTAGAGCGTCGGTCTGTGGACTGAAAGGTCCTGGGTTCGATTCCAGTCAAGGGCATGTACATTGGTTGCGGACACATCCCCGGTAGGGTGCAGGAGGCAGCTGGTTGATGTTTTTCTCTCTCATCGATGTTTCTAACTCTATCCCTCTCCCTTCCTCTCTGTAAAAATCAATAAACTATATTTAAAAAGATAAAATATCTAGAGCTGTGTTACCTTTGTCTCCAAGCACCAACATAAAATATATATAATAAAATAAAATAAATGATTTTTTATTGATACCCCATGGTGCAAGGTACTATTATAGGTAATGAGATAACCCAAATCTGGGAAAAATTATAATGACCTTGTAGAATAATATTATGTAAGGATATTCTTTGCTTTAGGCTAGTGTTTCCCAACTTCTCTCATGATGAGCACTAGTTAAGTATACGATTTTACCTATATGTTCCCAAAAGTTCTACTTTAGCACTTCTTAGTTGGGATTCAGAAATCTGTATTTTAACAACTCCACCAGGTGATTCTCATCATGAGAGAAGTTTGGGAAACACTGCTCTAGGCCATGGAAATTCCATTTTAAACTGGCTGTCAATTTCTTTTTGTTTCAAACAAGGTCTTTGTTTCATTTTCTACAGCTCTCCCAGAAGGAAGTAGTGATGGTCCCTTCCTATGGTGTCCTCACAAGCCAGAAACATCTCTTTAATTTTACACACAAAGGAATAGTGGTTTAATTTTGTGTCGTACAAAAGGGCAGCTGGGTGGTGACCCCTATGTAATTATACTTCCTTGTCCCACCTGTGGTCCTCCTGGATGACCAAAGTGTTTGGTATCATCAGTGACTACTTTGGGCAGGAGGATCAGCCCAGGTAAGGGCTACCACCTGTGAAGGATCAGGAACATAAGTCCAGAAATATTTACCCAATAGCCCCAGGTTATATTACCGTACAGCTGATGCCTGCTAGCATGGCAGTAAAGGCATTCTCAGGTGTTCTTGGGTTATGGCTACCTCACACTTTATTCTCTCTCTCTCTCTTTAATTTTTTAATATTATTATTATTATACATATGTGTTCTTATCCCCCTCTTATCCCCTACCCTCCACTCATACTCCACCCCCATGTTATCTGTGGCCATTGATGAGGCTCATATGTATGCCCACAAGTCTCTTGGTTGATTTCTCCCCCTTGCTCCCAGCAATCCCCTCCTTCCCTGGGGTTTGAGATTCTGATCAATGTTACTCAGTCTCTGGGTCTGTTCTTGTTCGTCAGTCTATGCTGTTCACTATATTCCATAAATTAGTGAGATCATGTGATGTTTATCTTTCTCTGACTAGCTTATTTCACTTAGCATAATGGTCTCCATCTCCATCCATGTTGCTGCAAATGGTAGGAACTCTTTCTTTTTTACCGCAGCATAGTAATTCATTGAGTAGATGTACCACAGTTTTTTAATCCATTCATCTGCTAATGGGCATTTAGGCTGTTTCCAAATCTTAGCTATGGTGAATTGAGCTGCTATGAAAATAGGGGTGCATATATCCTTTCTCATTCGTGTTTCTAGTTTCTTGGGATATATTCCTAGAAGTGGGATCATTGGGTCAAATGGGAGTTCCATTTTTAGTTTTTTGAGGAAACTCCATACTGTTCTCCACAGTGGCTGCACCAGTCTGCATTTCCACTAGCAGTGTAAAAGAGTTCCTTTTTCTCCACATCCTTGCCAATACTTGTGGTTTGCTAATTTGTTGATGATAGCCATTCTGACAGGTGTAAGATGGTACCGCATTGTTGTTTTGATTTGCATCTCTCTGATTATTAATGACTTTGAGCATGTTTTCATATGTCTCTTGGCCTTCTGTCTTCTTTCAAAAAGTGTCTATTTAGTTCAGTTGCCAATTTTTTGATTGGGTTATCTTCTTTTTGTTAAGTTGTATGAGTTCTCTGTAAATTTTGGAGATTAAACCCTTATCATTGATATTGTTGCAAATATGTTCTCCCATGCAGTGGGGTTTCTTGTGGTTTTATTGATGGTTTCCTTTGCGGAGAAAAAGCTTTTTATTTTGATGTAGTCCCATTTGTTTATTTTCTCTTTAGCTTCCATTGCCCTAGGAGCAGTATCAGTGAAGAAGTTCTTTTGGTATATGTCTGAGATTTTCCTGCCTGTGGATTCCTCTAGTATTTTTATGGTTTCCCTTCTTCTGTTTAAGTCCTATATCCACTTTGAGTTTATTTTTGTGTATGGTGTAAGTTGGAGGTCATTTCATTTTTTTTTTGCATGTATCTCTCCAAATTTCCCAGCACCATTTGTTGAAGAGACTGTCTTGACTCCATTATATATTCATACCTCCTTTGTAAAATATTAATTGAGCATAGTGCTCTGGGTCGATATGTGGATTCTCTATTCTATTCCATTGGTCTGTATGTCTGTTCTTGTGCCAGTACCAGGCTGTTTTGAGAACAGTGGCTTTGTAATATAGCTTGAAATCTGGTATTGAGATCTCTCCTACTTTATTCTTCTTCCTCAGGATTGCCGTGGCTATTCGGGGTCTTTTTTTGTTCCAGATGAATTTTTGGAGTGTTCTTTCTAGGTCTGTGAAATATGCTATAGATATTTTAATGGGGAGTGCATTAAAACTATAGATTGCTTTGGGTAGTATGGATATTTTAATGATTTTGATTCTACCAATCCATGAACATGCTATGTTTTTCCATCTGTTTACATCTTCCTCTATCTCTTTTTTTCAGTGTAATGTAGTTTTCCATGTATAGATCTTTTACCTCCTTAGTTAAGTTTATTCCTAGTTATCTAAATTTTTTTGGTGTGATGGTAAATGGGATTGCTTTCTTTGTCTCTCTTTCTGTAAGTTCATTGTTGGTGTATAGAAATGCCATAGATTTCTTGGCGTTGATTTTGTATCCTACTACCTTGCCGAATTCACTTATTAAGACTAATAATTTTTTGATGTACTCTTTAGGGTTTTCTATGTATAGTATCATTTCATCTGTGAATAAAGATAGTTTTACTTCTTCTTTTTTAATTTGGAAGCCTTTTATTTCTTCTTCTTGTCTGATCTCTATGGCTAGTACTTCCTGCACTATGTTTAACAGGAGTGGTGAGAGTGGGCATCCCTTAGACTAGTATTTTTCAATGTGTTTTTATTATTCTCTCAAGGAGTCTTCTTAGACATTTTCTTCCTAAACACCCTTTCCCCATGTTATTTTAAGAACATAGATATTACTGTATGTCTGATTTATACATAAAAGAGTAACTTGATCACCACAACCTCAGAATGCATGGCCTAGACTAATTTAGGACACCTCTGGAACTGTGGATGGGATCAGCCTTCCTTGGAGTATATGTCCATGTGTGGGAGGTAACAGCAAAAATGTGAGTTCTGTTAGGATGGAGAAAGTAGTAAGAAATGGATTTTGAACAGACAAAAAACAGCGGCTACCCTTCAAGCTGAGAGAACAGATAATTTGTATTGGTAAGTGGTAAAATAAATTCAGACCAGGATTTCTAACTTCAATTGCAATGCTCTAGTCCACATGTGTCAAACACACGGCCCGCGGGCCAAATCCGTCCCGCCAGGCCTTGCAATGTGGCCCGCACCAAGCTGTCATCACTGCACTCCGCTGCGTTTCCATCACAATGACAGTTTATGACTGTTCAGTAAACCATTCGGCCCGCGATTTAGGCTGGATTTTAGATTTTGGCCCCTTCTCTGATTGAGCTCGACACCCCTACTCTAGTCACTAAAACTTAGTTATCCCTTTTTAGTTTGTCTTGGAGGTAATGTCAACAATGAAGAGAATATTGAGAGGGACAGTTATGGATTCAAATAGTGATTCTGTACTTACTGGTTATGTGGAAAAGTCACTGGAGCTCTGTGAATTTTATATTCTTTATCTTTAAAAGAGAGATTATAATTTATTGAATACCAGTTTGTTAAAAGGATTAAATAAGCTAAACAAGTAAAACAACAAGAAAAATGCTTTTGTAAATGTTAGTTCCTTTCCATTATTATTTTTCCTTTTGAAAAAATTAAGTGAAGGCTTAGGAATTCATGGTCTAAAAATATATATTACTAATGGCCCAGTGCACGAAATTTGTGCACATTAAAAGGGAATTAGAGAAATATTTTAATATTGTTATTTGCCCTTTCTCTATAATAGAAGAGTCAAAGATGAAAGAAAATTAGTAAAATGTATATGAAAATCTTCCTCCTGTCAAAGTCTGGGGTGTGTGCGGGACCCAGAGTCAAGTTCCCACCCACCTGTGCTTGCCTAAAAATTGCATGAGACCCAGACCCAGACATCTCTCCCTTTATCCCTCTACATTGGGCGAGATCCATACCCGGCTGGCCCCAACCTTGTCAAGCCCTGCCAGGCAGGTAATACAGCTTCAGTCCCCCCCACTCCCAGCCCCCACCTGGCACCCATCAAGCCCTGCTGGGCAGTGGCCATTGCCTGAGGTCCCCCCGTCAAGCCCTGCTGGGCATGGAGTACAAACTGAGATCCCCAGTCATTCCCCATTAGGCGTGGGGGCATAGGCTCAGGTCCCCCGGCCCAGCATCACGCAGCCTCAGGTCCCTGCTGATTGCTAGTATGGGAACCCTGCCTCCACTGTGGTTGCAGCCATCTTGTGATGGTGTGCAGGTTAACTTGCAAATTTCCTCTTTATTTTATAGGACTGTTAGAATTTGCAAAATGATTTATTTAAAATTCATCTCCTACTTCCTTTCAAATGTTTATTTTATATAGAATGAATACTGTAGTTAGTATACTTTTATAATTGTCACACCCACAACTTACACTCTACAATGTAATATCTGAAAAGATGGGAGGGAAAGTGTATTTTCAGTGATTTGTGATGTGTGCTGGTTGCAGAGAAGCTGAATGTTGAGTGTAAAGAAAGTTTACAAATTGCTTTCAGTTTTATAGTCATGATCTTCTAGTCTGATACGAATTTTCATCTATTCTTTATTTTTTAGGACAAATCTATTAGCACTAGTTTACCTGTCCTAGATTTAATAGATGCCATTGCACCAAATGCAGTTCGTCAAGAAATGATAAAGAGAGAAGACTTCTCTGATGAGGACAAGCTGAACAATGCTAAGTAAGCTTTTATTGTTTGTATTACAACATAGTGGCTCTTTAAATTCTTAAATCCATATAGGTAAGGTTAATATATCTTTAAGACTCACAGTTTTAAATACAAAAATATGATTTAACTACTCATAAACTTAACTTTTTTTGTAAAGGTAAATCATAAAATATTTTGTTCTTTTATTAACATGCATATATTCGTGCACATTGAAAAAAAGTTAATTAGAAGTGGTGGCTGGTGGTGAGACGGGACTGACACACCCTGGAGCCAACCTCCCATGGTCCCTCTCTGGCCAGTCACACTGGAGCTTGAAGGGTGTCTGTAGAGTGAGCAGGGTCCCTCAGACAGGTGGGGTCCCTTGGCCTGGTCTGTAGGTATCGGGCCAAAACTGGCAGTTCAACATCCCCCAAAGGGTCCAGGAGTGAGAGAGGGGACTCTGCAAAGTTGCTGTTGCTGGGCAGCTCATACATTGAGCGTTTGCCCCCTCGTGGTCATTGTGTGTCATAGCTACTAGCCAGTCACGCTTATACGTATATGTATATAGATATTAAATGAAAACACAGTAGATATCAAATACCAATATATTTTTCTTGTGTTTCCCCCCCCCCCCCCCAAGATATGCTATTTCAGTTGCTCGGAAGATTGGTGCCAGGATATATGCCTTACCTGACGACCTTGTAGAAGTGAAACCAAAGATGGTCATGACAGTGTTTGCATGCTTAATGGGAAAAGGACTAAACAGAATAAAATAAACATTTAATATTATTTTCTGCCACATTAACACATGGAATGCCTCACAGTTTACAGAATTCTGAAATGTAGGTATAAAAGCAGAGATTACTTGTATGCTCAAAACAATTGTAAAATTCATTAATGAATTCAGTATCCTATTCATACTAGTTAGAGTTTGTCGATCTTTTTGGATAACACAATTAATTTACTAGTAGATACTTAGAATATGTTCATCATCAAGCCGATATTTCACAATTAAATTATCTTCATTTTGGAAAGTCTCATTAAAACAAGACTAATTTAATCTTTTTCATGGTTCTAAAAGAGCAATACAATTTTTTTTGCAAGTCCTGTGAAATGTGTTTTGATTTGTGTTAAATTTGATTATAACTGCATTAAAATTCATAATTCAGTTTCATCACTTTGTTTTTTCTTTCTATGTGCAGTGATCTAAACTATCTTTTCTGTAAATTTCTATATTGTCTAAAATTTTTAAATGACAAGTATTGTTCTAGCAGCATTAAATTTTTTTTTATATGAGAACTCCTAAAGAAATCCCAAAGTTCATTCTCTTATGTAAGAAACCAGAGCTTTTTACTTAAAACTTAATTTCAATTCCATTGATGCTTTATATATGCTTGTTAGGTAATGACAGGCAACATATATATGTTGGCAAGATGTTATTAGGGAAATATGTCTGTGTATGTATATATTTTGCACCGAATTATCTGGGTTTTCTTAAATGGTATATATAAATTTGTGAGTCAGCCAACCAATAAGTATTTATTGTGCCCCCACTGTGTGTACTTTTCAGTTTGTAGCTATTTGGTACATGAAAATTTCTTTTAGAAATATTCATTTTTGCTGTGACTGACTTCTTCCAGATATTGAGCCAAACTTTGGCTAGAGGATTTCAAAATATTTTGATGCTATAATGTTAGCTTCATGTTACAGATGCTAATTTTGATTTCTACTGAAGCCCTAAATAATTTAGAAAATGCCAACTGAATCTCTTTAGCAGAAAGTAACACAAAGTGTTTTTTAACATAGAGCATTTTCACATGTTTTTTTCCTGCAGCTTCCTACAAGTTCGCAATGCTTGTGTTGCTTAGGAACAACTAAGTCTGAGACCTATTTTTGTCTAAATTTTTAGGAGTGGAAAGATTCTTTACTAACAGTTGAATTCAGAAATTAGCTTTCTTCATCTTCCACTGTCAGTACCAGTAAACTGCTGTGCAACAAAAATACTGTCACTTTATGAATGAGAAGTCTTACTTCCCTTTTATCATTGATTAAAATATACATATTGGTAAGATTTTCACTGGAATTATGAACAGGTAGAACTATGAAGTATATTCTTCTATAACAGAGATTTCCTTTCCTTCAATATTTTGATGATTTTCTCCTGTATGATGATTAAGATATGTTCTTGCTCTTTTGTAAGATTATTTAAATCATATTTCCCCTTTTGATTTTTTCACCATATATTTACTAAGTTATCTGATTTACAAGAAATTTAGCACTTCAGGGTGTTCTTTTTCTCATAAAATATATTTAATAAAAATTCTCTGTATGTACAAATGTGTCAGTATTTATTTTATTTACATCAAAATATATAACCCTGAAATTTATATATATAAAAGCCTGCCGCAACCTTTGTGGCAGAGTTCAGGATCTGAAGGAGGGGCCAACACACAAATGAAAATACTATACTAGAAATATGTATTTAGAAGGCATTGGACACTGGGGTGATGGGGGCTTGCCCAGGGTGGGAATGGCTAGGGGGTTGGTCAATTTGGAAAAAAGATGTACGTATGTAAAACTTTAGATCACATGTGTCAAACACAAGGCCCGAGGGCCAAGTCCGTCCCGACAGGCCTTGCAATGTGGCCCGCACCAAGCTGTCATCACTGCACTCCGCTGCGTTTCCATCACAATGACAGTTTATGACTGTTCAGTAAACCATTCGGCCCGCGATTTAGGCTGGATTTTAGATTTTGGCCCCTTCTCTGATTGAGTTCGACACCCCTACTTTAGATAATAATAAAAAGTAAAAATCACACACCAAAAAGGCATAGGGCGCCATGTGGAGACCTCTTTCTTGAGGAGAAACACCGACTTCTGGCCTAGTCTTCTATTTATTTACTTAGATACACATTTTCCCTTTAGTAATGCATACAGGCATATAGAGTGTAAAGTTTGGTAAACAGTAAGAGGATTATCAGGTTAGGGAATTGTCTTGAGCCACCACTATCTCAACAGACAAGGTGCTTAGTGTCAGTCCTGCTAACACCCAAGGTCCATTGGCCTTCTGTATTCTTTGGTGCACTCTTGTGACACTATCGGCAAACGGTGGCTTCCAGTAAAAGCTTAATATGCAAATTGTCCCCTTGGAGTTTGACCGGAAGACCAGGAGTTGGGCAGCCAGGGAAGGGAGGCCCTGGTTGGCAGCTAGAAGGCCCTGATTGGCCCTGATCACTGGCCAGGCCTAGGGACCTTACCTGTGCATGAATTTTGTTATTTTCCAGAAAATAACAAAATAAATAAAATAAGGTTATTTTCCAGAAAAGAGAAAATTACTAAAACAAAATTCCTAATTCTTTTTCCCCCCAATATATTTTATTGATTTTTTTACAGAGAGGAAGAGAGAGGAATAGAGAACCAGAAACATCGATGAGAGAGGATCATCAATCAGCTGCCTCCTGGGGATGTGCCTGCAACCAAGATACATGCCCTTGACCAGAATCAAACCTGGGACCTTTCAGTCTGCAGGCTGATGCTCTATCCACTGAGCCAAACCGGTTTTGGCTAATTCTTTAGTTAGTAAAAATAATTACTTAAAACTAATTAAAACAAACAAACAAAAAACACCTCTAGGTTATTTTGGGAGAGGGAAGGTCATTCTATGTTTTTTTTTGTTTTTATTTTTTAACATGAAGAAATTTAATAGAAACCAGCGACATATTACTACAAATTTAGTTTTTGTGGAAGTAATTAGGGTGAATCAACCAATTCAATAACATAAATTTGCCTATTATGATCCTGGTATGACATTAGACATGGAGATTTAGTCAAGAAAAATATATGACTTCATGAATCATATCCTAGTAAAGAGAGACATGTGATAAACAAATGGGAATTTTAGATAATGATAACTATAGTAGGAGAAATAAAATGGTAACATGATAGAGACTGATTTGGGAACTAGGGTGAATATTATTTTAGTTTGGATAGTCATGGAAGGTCTCTTTAAGGATGTGTGTTTGGACAGTATAAATGACTAGAGGCCTGTTGCACAAAATTTGTGCACTAGATGGGGGGAGTAAAAATTTTACTAGGTAAACTCACACACAAACCCAAACATGACCACAAATTTACAGTGAGCAACTTTGACATTTTACCAAATGCATAAACTTGCAACTGAACCCAACAGTATTAGAAGGGAGAGATTTATGATCTAGGGAATATTTTTGTTTAAGGCTAAAATGGGCTTGGCCAGTTTTTCTCAGTGATTAGAGCATTGGTCTGTACACCAAAGGGTCCCCAATCAACTCCTGGTAAAGGGCATGTACCCAAGTTGTAGATTTGTTCCCCAGCGGTAGTCTGGGTAAGTTTGGGAAAGAAACCAGCAGATCTCTCTCTCTCTCTCTCTCTCTCTCTCTCTCTCTCTCTCTCTCTCTCTCTCTCTCTCTCTCCTTTCTTTCCTCTCCTGCTACCCCTTTCCTTCCACTCTCTAAAAAGCAATGGAAAAAAATATTTTCAGGTGAAGATTAACAACAACCACAAAAAAACTAAGAGTAAGATGCAAATTGACTGTACCTTCATGATGCCCACCAGCCAATCAGGCATGAGTATGCAAGTTAATCCAACAAAGATGTCACAGATAAGGGGAAGGGAAAGGCATACATTGGCAGAGGATAGAAGAATGTTGCAAGATAAGGGGGTGAGAAAAAGGGGGGTATCAGATGGGCTTTGACCTTTGAAACTGCTATTCTTTTATTAGTGTAGATTTTTTAGTTAATGAATTTATTGTTCAAACTTCATAGGACAAGAACCCACAAGGAAGGGTCCACAGTCCAACTCCATGTTTCATTTTGAAGGAAGAAAAGCCCTCTAATACCTGGTAGGTCTGTCCACTAAAGTAGGCCAGAATTTCCCTGAATCTAAGAAATTAACTCAGCCCCTTGTGGAAGTCCAGAGGGGATAACCTAAACACAGAAGCTTCAGTAGACTTAAAAGTGTATGAAAAAGCCATTGAAGGGCTGTGATGCACAGTCTATCCTAAAAACGTGCTTATCCATGATTACGTGACAATACACTTGAATTATCGATACATGCGAATAAACGTATGAATCAGGAATGTTGCGACTTTCTACTATCACCAACGAGTTAAGAGTCTTCAGAAATTCGGGAAGCAGGGACGTCTTGCAGCGAGGCGAGGGCAGTGGACACAGGGACAGGACATGACTCCACAGTCACACAGGGGTGTCCACTGACCTGAGCCCTCACGGTTCAGCAGCCCAGAGGCCTATGGGCTTCTGCGCAGGAGGCGGTGGGGAGGTGCTGGCGCTGAGCTGAGCTCCTGGCCCGAAGCCTCCCAGGCCAGGCAATAGCCCAGGGACCTAGACACAGACTCACCGACAGGCCCCGCCCACCAAGCCTGGCCAGTCCCCTGCGATAGGCCTGGCTCGGCTGCGTAGCTAACACAGCGGAGCGTGACGAGAGGAGTCACGAGAATTTTCTGGGGGCGCCGCTTGGCTGGTGGTCCCCACGGTCCTGGACCCCGACGTTTGCAGAGCCGCTTCTCAGGACTTCCTCCGCATCTCCCCTTCGGCCTCTGCCTGGTCCGCCGTCCCTCCCCTGGCGCGGCCCCTGCGGCTCTGGCGAGGCCGCTCGCCGCCCTGGCGCCCGCGACTCTATCGTCCCCAGATCGGCGCGGACCGGCTCGGCCGGGGCGCAGGCGGCTGGGGAGGGGTCGCTGGCCCTGGGGTCGCGCCGGTGCCGCCACCGACCTGGGGCTGTCGGCGGAGGGTGAATGCTGGCTCCCAGGAGACGGGACCCTCTTCGGAGCCGCGGCGGGGCCGACCCATCCGTTCTCGGGCCCTGCGGCCGGGTGGGGTCCCGGGGCGCGGCCCTGGTCTCCTGGTCTGTCCCCTTCGTGGGGCGCAGCGGTGGCGGCCCTGTGTCCGAGCATGGATCCTTCTGGCGCCTCTTCCTCCTCCCTGTTTTCTTCCCTGTCCTCGTCATCGCCCAGTGAGGTGATGGCGCTAAAGGATGTGCGGGAGGTGAAGGAGGAGAACACCCTGAATGAGAAGCTTTTCTTGCTGGCGTGCGACAAGGGTGAGAGCTCGGCCCCATTCTCCGCTCCCGATGCTCTTGTCCTCCATACCCCTCAGATTCTCCGCAGCCTCAGCTTGGGCCTTCTCTCTTCTGGCGCCCAGCTCCGGACCTCCAGGCGCCCCACGCCGCCTCCACCTGTGAGTGTGCAGCTGGCGGCGGCGGGGGCGCGGCCCTCCACTGGCAGCCACTGTGCCCGGCGCTGGTCCTGGTCTCCCTTTTTGGCATCCTGTGTTTAGGTGGCGTTGGGGGCGCGGACCCTAGGATTTTGGCCCTGCCTCTGCTGCTGACCACCCGAATGACCTGGTCTCTCTTGGGGGACTTACGTTTTGTTTGTTTGTTTGTTTGTTTCCTTTTTGGAAGCCCAAAGGGCTTGTTTAGTGTGAAAATCCCATGACCTTGCTTAAGATGCCTCGTGTTTGTGGGCTCTCACCTGTTGTTCCCTCCCACCCCCGCGCTTCATTAAAATCTTAAAATCTTATTTGTGTTATAATATTTTAAGTTCAGCCACCCAATGCCTTGGTGTACAAGTGACTGTTGACTGGAATTAGATATGTCATAATCCTAGGTGGTGACAAAGACAGGACTGAAGAAATAGTTCCAAATTTTCTCCAAATTTACAGAACAACTTTGTTCGTGGTTTTTATTAGTGAGGAAGGTTTATTGCTCCTGAGCCATAAAGGTAGTGCAAAATAATTACAGGGTAAAAATGTGGAAGATATTTAATATTTTTCTTTAAAAAAAGATTCTTCACTTTTATGGTCATATAAAGTCTCTTCACTCAAGCATGCTTTCTTTTGTTGCATATAATAAAAGGAATGAGAAATTGATTGCCCTAAATTTTACTTCCGGTGTGAAATACTATACAATTTATTTTTCTACATCTATTCAGTGTGCCTTTGTTGACCTTAAAAAGGAGTCATTTTAACAGCAAAAATGGGTTTATTTGGAAACAGCAAAGAAGTGCAATTCAGGACAAGTAAGCTATAGCAAAAGCCATAGGCAAGGCCAACAAATAAAGGAGAAGAAAGTTTTATGGAGAAGAAGGAAGTTGGGAGGGGTAGTTCTGAAAAAAGTTCATTGGAGACAATTGAGAGTTAAGGGCATGATAGTTTCTCATGGACTGGGGTGATAAATTTCTTGCAGGATGATTTCTCATTGGCTGGGATTGTCAATTTCTTGTAGGAGACCTAATGTATATCTTTTATGTTTGGGCCTACCACTGATGATTCTTTCCTGTTGAGGATTTTCTGTTGGGTTCTGTATTGATAATCAATTCATCCTATAATTTGACTTCTAGTACTGCATATGAACACCCGGTCTGGCCTGACACTATTTCAAGTAAGATTTCCCTTTGTTAATTTTCACACCTTTCAATGGCCATGCTCACTTAGAAAACTCAGTTTAGGATCATGCAGACTTTGATAACATAAGCTCAAAGGGCAGTTTTTACACTATGAAAAGATTAACTTCAGAGGATATTTTGTATGTGCAAGGTTTTAAAAAAATATTTTCATTGAATTCAGAGAGAAAGAGAGGAGAGATAGAAACATCAAGATGAGAATCATCCATAGGTTGCCTCCTACACCCCTCTCCTCCCCTACCCCCAACTGGAGATCAAGTCCACAACAAGGGTATGTGTCCTGACTGGGAATGAACCATGACTTCCTGGTTCATAGGTCAATGCTCAATCACTGAGCCGCCTGATTTTTTTAGTAAGTATCAGTCTCTAACCCAGTGGTCGGCAAACTCCTTAGTCAACAGAACCAAATATCAACAGTACAATGATTGAAATTTCTTCTGAGAGCCAAAATTTTTAAACTTAAACTTCTTCTAACGCCACTTCTTCAAAATAGACTTGCCCAGGCCATGCTATTCTATGGAAGAGCCACCCTCAAGGGGGCAAAGAGCCACATGTGGCTTTCCAGCTGCAGTTTGCTGACCACGGCTCTAACCTCTTACTGCTTTTGAAGTAGGATTTGATTTACATAATATTTTGCAAATACATTATCTTATAAAGGCCACCTATGTAAACCACTTTTATGTTCTTATGTAATAGTATCAAATTATATTATGAAAACATTCCTTAAAATCCACTATGGACACAACTTTGAATTGTCTTGGAAATGTAAAGAAGTGTAACATATGTCTATAACCTCACAAAAATCATTGTAAATTAGGTAAAATTATGTAGTATTACTGGAGTAGATTGTGTAAGGTCTTTTCCCTAAAAAAATTCCCTAAGAGAGGGAATGGAAGATTGTGTTGCTCTAGCTGTGGTTATTTTAAAGCAAACAGAAAGTATGTCAAAAAGGGAATTTGATGTTCCTATCAAAATGAGAAATATGGTTTTAGTAAGTACTTATGTATGTTGTGTGTATTTAAGATTATTGCATGACATATTTAAAACAAAAGAATGTTTTTGTATAGGATAGTTTTGTGGCCTGTCCAGTAGAGCAGTTGAAATAACTTTGTATCATTTGTCAGTTTTCCATTTTATAAGATCATTAAGATTTTTTGGGGGGATTTGGCTTTTGGGGGTGGGTAGAAAGTAAATATGCATGCTTTTTTGCCCATATAAAGTAAAAAAGCTAAATAAATAAAAATTAAGGAAAGACTAAGTAGGTATTTTCTGTTTCAGGTATGTTAAAATGAGCTCTTGGGTTAGGTCGAGGAAATGGCTCATTTCTTACACTATAGTATCCTTTTACATGTAAAAAATAAATTGGAGTTATAGCAGTACTTTTTTTTTTTTTTTACATGTTTGTATCCACTAATATTATTAAACCTCTTTTGTATCACCCAAACCAAATCTACAAGTGGAAATTTCCTGAAGTAGCTATAGTTTCCACTGTTACATTGAAACTTTAATCAAACCAAATGGCAACTATTTACTATAACAACTCTGGGTTTGAGTGCATATACTTTTCATAGATGATCTCATTTCATCCTCACAACCCAATGAACTATAATATATCTGTTGTTATCCCCATTTTACAAATAAGGAAAATGAGACTTAGCAGAATTTTAAAATTCCTTTGTCTAAAGTAGCATTAGTTATGAAGTAGAACTAGGATATATTTTAGCTTGCACTATTAACCACTATGTTATATTGATCTAGTTTTATTTTTATTTTTATTTATTTATTTTATTTTTATTTTTTTATTGGTTGACTTTTTATTGTTTTTTTACAGAGAGGAAGAGAGAGGGATAGAGAGTTAGAAACATCGATGAGAGAGAATCATGGATCAGCTGCCTCTTGCACACCATCTACTGGGAATGTGACCACACCCAAGGTATATGCCCTTGACTGGAATTGAACCTGGCACCTTTCAGTCTGCAGGCCGATGCTCTATGCACTGAGCGAAACCGGCTTCGGCTTGATCTAGTTTTAATTGGATGAATGGAAATTATTTATGTTAGAAAAGACATGTTCACACTTGGACTTACTAGTTGGAAATCAAACTCGCTCTCTATGAATGTTTTATAAACCTTTCTGTGGATCAAATTTATCCAATAAAAGCAAAATCTTTAATAGCACCAGAGCAAATCTACTGTAGAACATCTATGTTTCTCATCCTTTTCATTTAGAAATTTTACTCTAAAACACAACATTTCATAATGTATTATATTTGGAAAGAATTCCTAAAGTAAAAATTGTGGATATAAGGTGGTAATGTGTATTTTAGTGAATGAGTGGGCCTTTGAAAGATATGTACAGATTAAGGAGTAAAGAAAAAACTAGAAAAGAGCCTGGCCAATGTAGCTCAGCTGTTGAGCTTTGACCCAGCAACCAAGAGGTCACTGGTTTGATTACAGGTCAAGGCACATGCCTGGGGTTGCAGGTTCCATTCTCTGTGGGGGATCCTGCAGGAGCAGCCAATCAATGGTTTTTCTCTCTCATTGATGTTTTTAACTCTTTTACCTCTCTCGTTCCGTTTCACTGGTCTATCTGTATATTCACGATCAGTTCAACTTATGATTAAAAGTGTCACTTTCTAAAGTGTTTGTTAAGTTTTTGCCATAGAGCATGAGTGTCTATTCATAGTGCTATGAAGAAAATACTTCTTTTTGTGATTAGTTTTCTTAAAGTAACTAAGGAGATGTGGTATCAAGAAAATTATGGTTCAGCTTCATCCAAAATGCATGGAGGGCTTTAAAGTCATTGATTTCAAATAATATCACTCTCCCTGTTTGGGTTGTTCAATTTTTGGAAAATTGTCCCATTCACCAAAAAGGTTGTGGGTTAATTTCCCAGTCAGGTCAGGGCACATACCTAGGTTGCAGATTTGATATCGAGGATCGATGTTTCTCTCCTCTCTCTAGAAATAAGTGAGAGCATATCCTCAGGTGAGGATTAAAAAAATAATAATAATAGAAAATCTATTTGAAATTTACCCCTCCCCAAATGTTACTTTTTTTTTTTTAATTCACCCATTTAGTCAAGTTTTAAGATTTACTTTTTCTGTATTATGAAATCATATCTTTTTCCTCTGGTTTTCACTCTGTTCTTTTCTGTAGTTTTTCTTTTGTGGTAGTTGTTTTGTTTTGATTTTTTGTTTAATTTATAGATGTCTAAAGAACAACTGTATTTGCAAGTCACTTAAATGGTTTCTATTATATTTTAAAAGAAATAATTAAAAGAAACAAAACTCTGCTTTCTTTGTATAGTTAATTAGATTTCTCTTGATTTATTTCCCTTATTACTGCACTAATTGGTCAGCAGACAAATGATTGCTTTTGTCATTATTCTCATTTTTTTTCCCATGGGTCAACTGTTTTGATGTTGGCTAGAGTTAGGCAGAAGGAATCCTGCATGCTCTTGACAGGTTAAAATTTTACTTTGAAATATTCTGACTTTGGCCTCTACCAGCATTAACCCCACTCCTATTTTAGAGTTTTGTGAGTTGGGTGTTCCCTGATCATATAATCTAAACAGTTTCATTTATGAGATGAGTGTGTGTGTGTGTGTAGGGGAGAAGAGGAGAGGAATTTAGGCATTTTTTTTTGTCAAGCATATACATATTAACACTGCTTTTCCAAAGGCTATAAAATGTCTTCATAATATCCTCAGCTTATTACTAGATCTCATTTATAACTATTTTGATGTATGAGTAAATGTGGGTATGTATTTGAGATGTAAAACTTTAAACTTATAATTTTTCTTGCTTTCAGTATGTATTTTTGGACAATCTTTATTGCTTAAAATATCTTCTAAAAGTTTCTCTCCTTATCATTCAGTTATGAATTTTAAACTAGCAACTTTTAATGTTTGCAGCTGATGTACATATTATTTTACCAAGATAAAAGTTTTTAGCAAAGAAATGTTAATGTTTTTGCCCATTTCCATATAAAAAAACAAGTTTAGGTTTTAATCTTTTAAATTAACAGGCTAAGTTTTCTTTACAGTCATTCACATTTAATATGTCATGAGTATTAAATTGTGTTTGTATTTGTTATTTAGGTGACTATTATATGGTTAAAAAGATTTTGGAGGAAAGCAGTTCAGGTGACTTGAACATAAATTGCGTAGATGTGCTTGGGAGAAATGCTGTTACAATAACTATTGAAAATGAAAATTTGGATATACTACAGCTACTTTTGGACTACGGTTGTCAGGTACAAGGCTAGATAATTTTATTTTGTAGCTTCTAAGTTCTGTTAGATATGCCATATTTTCTTCTTTCTAGTTCCCTCTCTTCTTGCCTCCCTTCCTATCTTCTTTTTTTCCTTTCCCCCTTTCTCTTTCTTCTCTTTCACATTTAAATTGATTTTGACTCATAAAAAGTTTTAAAAACAAATCAAAAGCCTATTTATCAAAGTATAATATTTTACTTGATTTATTTTTTTCTTCCAACTTTTACATCCCTTCCTTATTTTATGTGTTTTATATCTGACAGAGAAAATTACCATGACTTATTAAAGGTGACTTTGTTTTTCTTATTTATATTATGGTAATATTATTATATATCTAAAAATACACAAGTGTTCCAGATGTGTCAGGGGAAAAGATTTTTCTGTGACCATATAATTTACAAGCATAAGAACAAAATGCTCCTGACTCACAAAGCAATTTTTAATTTGACTCTGATGTTCTCTTAAGTTTTATTAAATTTTTCTTTTTGCCTGAAACTTAATGTTTACTTAAAACTAAAGGTGAGTGAATTTTTTAAACTGGAAAATACTGATAATATATATATATATATATATATATATATATATATATATAGAGAGAGAGAGAGAGAGAGAGAGAGAGAGAGAGAGAGAGAGAGAGAGTATTTTTTGTTTGTTTGTTTGTTTGCCTAATATGGGACTTAGCACATGAATTCTGGCGTTTTTTTCTTTCACATAATATGATTGATTGCTCTGTTGTAGCTTTAACTTAATGAGGCATCCTAATATATAAAAACTCTGGGTTGTAATGACCAGTAATGACCTAGGCTTGACCAATTGGAAGTCAGTCCTGCAATCAGTGCTGGGTTGCCCTGACTTCCGCTGATTGTTTCCAGTGTAGGTGCTGTGCCCCAGCACTGACTGCTGAGAGGGGTACAAATCGGGGCCAGGGAGAGGCCTGAAGAGAGAAGCAAGGACTGATCCATTGCCTCTGTGGCAGCTTTTGATCAGCACTTGCTTCTCTTTCTTTCCCAATCTGGCCAAAAGACATACCTCCATTTCTCTTCAGGCCTCCACTGTGGCTACTGATCAGCCCTGCCTTTATGATCAGGCCCTGTTGATAGGCCCAGAGACAATGACTGGCATAGGAACTGACCAATCAGAACCAAATGTGGGTGCTGTGGGGAGCCATTGGCTGCCTAGGATGTGGAGCTTCTGACATGACTGGCAAGAAACTGACCAGTCAGAACCAAATGTGGGTGCTGTAGGGAGCCAATGGCTACCTAGGAAATGGAGCTTTTGATGCTGACTGGCATAGAAACTGACCAATCAGAACCAAATCTGTATGCTGTGTTTAGCCAATGGCTGCCTAGGATGTGAGCTTTTGATGCTGACTGGCATTGTAACTGACCAATCAGAACCAAATTGGCCAGCAGAGGATGACAGTTGGGGGTGAGATCATGCGTGCAGGGGAGGGCAATTGGGGGTGAGACCAGGCCTGCAGGGGAGGGCAGTTGGGGTTAGTATTAGGCCAGC